CACTTCTAGTAGAGCTGTGTGCACATTTGCACCATGTTTTGTGACATTTGGACCTGTAGCAGCTGCATGTATACTGACCAATAGCTACATGCCTCAGTGTATCAGTACACGTACCGGTATGTACATGTACACAAGTGGAAAAGACAGCCCACTTTATGGGAGTCCATATTTTACAGAACACCAAGTTTACTCCATCAGGAATACACTGAATGAGAGCCAAAAAGTGAATCAATGGATACACTCTCACACAAACTACCATACCAAGAAACATCAACTCAACTAGTGCAAACATCAGCACTGACTAGCAAGTTGCACCTCTATACATGTACATGTACAGTAGCTGTACACCTACCGGTATGCACCTCTACACATGTACATGTACAGCACCTGTACACCTACCGGCATGCACCTCTATACATGTACAGTACCTGTACACCTACCGGCATGCACCTCTATACATGTACAGTACCTGTACAGTACATGTACACCTACCGGTATGCACCTTTATACATGTACATGTAAAGTACCTGTACACCTACCGGCATGCACCTCTACAGTACCTGTACACCTACCGGTATGCACCTCTATACATGTACATTTACAGTACCTGTACACCTACCGGCATGCACCTCTATACATGTACAGTACCTGTACACCTACCGGTATGCACCTCTATACATGTACATGTACAGTACCTGTACACCTACCGGCATGCACCTCTATACATGTACAGTACCTGTACACCTACCGGTATGCACCTCTATGTATATGTAACTTCCACAATATCAAATGTTAGCTGTGTGTGTATATTTTTACAGAATTCATAATTTTGTCACAGGAAACTGCAATGTATGTACATCCATACGCAAATAGTATCTATGCCGGTAGCTTTGTTTTCTTTTCCGGGGAAAGCAGCGTCATAGTCAGGACTCGTACGTCATTTCCTTTTCCAAACACACCAATGCACACATACCGGTACAAGCATAACGCAGACATTTTATCTGTTAACGGCACACATAATGGTACAGGTACATGTACTTAGATGTATGTATTTGATACATACCAAAACTTTATCAATGATGAACCAGGGAATACTTCTTGCCTTGAAATACTGTATAAAGGAATAAAAGATAGAAGCCAACAGGGAACTCATCTTACCCAGTAATAAAGTCCCAAGGCTGCTTAAATCAAAAAAAGTTCTCAGAATTTTGTTTTCCAATTCTTTGCTTTCTGTGCGTTCATATCAACGTCATTAAGGCCAGTGATCACGTTTACCTGTACCTGTATGTAAAGAAGACAACCAGTATGTACATGCACATTTACTAGTGTCCAAGGTGACGTCAAAAAGACACTTTTACGTTATACAATTCTGAGGTTTAATGGAGAACATGTACGTGTGTCTCTTATTCTTGAAAGCAGAGGTTCTTCAGTTTATTCACCCATGCCTACATGTAAGGCCAGCAATGCATCATATCAGTCAGGAAAGGTCCGAGTATCCTACAAGCCAATAAGGGCTTGTTTTACAATCCCCTCCCTCTGTTGAGTCAGGATCAAGGCCCTGCCTCCTACCCACAGGAAATGGAACAAGCCTTGCACTGTATTCTATGGTAATGTGGGAAAGTTTTGGACAACTCCACTCTACAAAGAGGGACAGCAAAAGATTGTGGCATGCCTGCATACAGTGCATTTTTAGGCCAAAATATGACAACAGATATCCATGTCACGAAAGTGTCTCATTTTTAAGATGCAAACAACTAGATGAGTCAGCCTTCCATCATAATTATCTTATGTGTACCCAGTAACTTGTTAATTTTTCTACAAACATTTTCAACGTAAAACTAACATGTATAACTTTCCAATTTGAGCATACCCGTGTTACATGTAAGCACTTAGAACATGCATGCACATGTAATGAACCATGAAACCACTCACAACACATGTATTTTACATGTACAGTATGTATATTTTGCAAATCCCATAAAACAACTTGTTTTCAATGTTCCAAACCTATTTCCTGTGCCATGTCAAACAAAATAAAGAGATTAAAAATCCCAACAGTAAGCCATTCATTCCTCTTTTTTGGAAGATTTTTTTTTTGAGGGTGCAAAACAGATGTTTGGACTCAATGTCTAGCCCCAATGGGACAAGTCCCAAGGGTTAAGGATGCTCGTGGCCTTAATGCACTCTTAATCTTGCATACAGTATGATCTCTAATCATATCTAGCTACATGTAGGGGTACACTAACGAATCATTTCCAGCCCTGTGCCAGATGGCAGGGCCCACTGACAGACAGGTTAATAGGAGCTAAGTATAGGCCATTGATCAGCTGCTGTGGACTGGACTAAAGGGATCCCAAGCTTACGGCAAAGGAGCTGACCAACTTCCAGGCGCAGGGAGTGGGAGGGTTTGGTGAGTATACAGAACCTTTGTCTTGAGGAAAGAAATACTGTGCAAGCACAAAGTTAGCACATGTTGCCAACCACTGGCAAATTTCATATTTTGAAGTACATGTACACAAAATTTATGGAGTAGTGGAAAGTTTTGCAGTACCATGTCACAAACCAAATACCACCGGATTCCCAACTAATGTTGGCTCCAAAAATAAATTTGTGGGAATATTGTCTAATACCAAGTACAAGTACTCCTGTTTCAGATTGCTTTTTCTGATTGCTACGGTAGATAATACACTGCAGTTACATGTATTGACCAATTTAACATGTACACATGTACATGTACACATGTATGTACCAGTACATGCTTTTTGCAGCAATACATGTATGTTACGTGCACAGGTACATGTACTGTAAATGTATGGCCAATAAGAAAAGTTTGAAATGCATGCCATCCGACTATGTGCCAACCTCCAGTGTAAACTCATTTGGCTAATCAGTTCGTACCGTTTGTGCATGTTCAAGTTAAAATGTTATTTTTGCTTGACTTTCAAGAGTCGTTTGAAATGCACTGAGTACTGCCACAATCCCAGAAAAAATAGGAAAGCCCAATCATCCTGAAAAACTGTTTTACTACTTGCATGCTTAAATGCTCTGTCAGCTGGAATTACCAGATATTTCTTCACTTGTGACCAACTAAATGTTTAAAGAGGAGCATGGTTCCTGCCTACGAATTCTCCCAAAGGAAAGGCAGTACGCAGTCACCCAACTCCACAGGTTGGAAGTCCTTGTGGCTTTGCCTAGTTTTCCCACTGAGAATCCCCAGAGATTGAAGGGCTGGGGGGGGCATCTCAGGTTATCCCTGCAATTTCCTCCAATTTACTGGGAAGACAAATTGTTGCCACTCGATGATAGATAAACTGATTGTGCTGCTTGAACGAGAAATTGATAATTTTGGAGATGAGGGACAAATGTCGGATGAAAAGACTGATGACAGAACAGTCACTCACAGCCGTTTCTCATTTTGGAAAAATTTGTAATTACTTGTCTCACATGTACATGTACATGTACATACACATTAATTTCGTGAATGACTTGAAAATGAGAAATATCAAGGGACGGTGATGCCCTTTGGTACATTAGAATATGCAGAATGGTCAACAACCTCAAAATCTTTTAGAAGTTCATGTACATGTGTGTACACTGCAGGGGATGATTTCGTTGTAAGATCTTGGATGACAAATTTGATATGCATTTTTCTTTTAGCATCTATGGCAACAAAATTATTTTGTGTAGCGATCCACTACCAGTAGTTTTGTATAGAAAATTTAGATACATGATTACACACTGTGTTAAGGGCTCTATCAATTATTGAAATGCTACAGTGCGCTTGATTGTCACACCAAGAAATTTGCAACAATGTTTTGCAAACTGCATTCCTTTATGCTGTGGTGCATTAATTTTTTTTAAACTGGATCGCACATTATCCAAAACGTGTTGCCTTTTTTTAAAGGAAATTTAATTTGCAAGGAAATTGCTCACTGTGGAGTGCTTAAAGACAGATCTACCGTACATGTAACATTAAAAATTTTCAAACTTCCTACATGGGATGAATATCCAACGTGATCAGCATCATGCACTTGCTGACAAATGTAAACAAGGTTGAAAGCTTTAACCATCCTTCAACAGTTGAAAAAATAGCTTTTCTATAAGCGTCATTTGTACAAAGTTGCATAGAATACTACCAGTAGTACATGGATGTTAGTGGACATTATGTACAATTAGCAAAACTCTAACAGATTAATTTGGCCCCCCTCCCCCTGTCCAAAATACTGAGCACACCAACACTTTAAGGATTGGATGATTAAATATGGGTAACTCAGTTTCTGGAATATTGGAAAATATTCATCAGATCAGGATTTGCCTGAAACACGAAAAAAACAGCAAACTGAAGATAGCTTGTTTCCTGTGACACGTTCACATACTTGTAATTTAGTTCAGACAACTGTTTTATTAATCCTGGATTTGACAATAGCCCCCTCTCCTGCTCAGCAAGTGCTAATAGATGAGTTTTTATGGAGATCAACAAGAGCGCCCTCTGTTGGTGATACTAAACAAGTGCATGGAAACAATCCCAAGACTCTGGGCGCATTTGATAAATGTCATGTGTTAAAAGCATTTCAAGGATGGACAGATAGAAACGCCAAACACATTAGTATTTATCAGAGTGCATCAGCAGCAGAGAGACATGCGTAACTATGGACTGCAGGTTTTCTTGTGTACGTGTAATTACCTAAAAGCGATGCACTATTAAAATAAATATTCATCAGGACTGTGACACAAACAATCCTGTTTGTTTTCCTTTCTAAGCTGGGATAACTTACATGTCCATGTCTATGATTATGCAACGGCTGAGAGACATTTTCACAAATGAAAATCCATGACAAATGTCAAGAACTAATGCAACCGGTACTGTGATTCTTAGCAGAGTTGACAGCAGTGTTCCGTCTTGGGCTTCATGGCACTCAGTCAGAAAAAAAGAATGCCACACTGAGCCAAAGGGTAAAAAATACTCTAAATGAGAAAGCCAATCAGGTTACCAGGCTCACCTCTTGGTTTGGAGGGAAGATGTCACGGACATCTGGTATGCGCGATTCCTGTCTCTGTTTATGCCTCAACGTCTCGTTGACCTTCTCCACCCTCTTCTTGACTGCTTCAGCCTGGGTGCGTGTCAGCGTCGATGTTGCATTGTCCACAACACCTTCATCTAGGATCTTCCCATCTGTGGGAATGACACCAAAAAAGGTTGCAATTTTGGAACTTACATTTCAATAATGTCTGGTCATTGGTGGATGGGGGGGGTGTAATAGCAGCATACAGTTGCTTCACTTTTGTAAAAGAATGAGAAAAGGGCTATTTATGGGGATAACTTCTCTTCCCTTTCCTTCCAAAAGTGAGCAACAAGCCCCCAAGATAAGCCTCACTCCTCAGGAAGGATATCAAAAGTTACACAAAGAAATTTTTTAATTTGTTGGCCCCTTGTTGACTAAAATTGGAGGATCCATGTGGGCTAAGTTTAACTACCGGTAGTAACTGAAATACATTAATTGCTAAAACTGTGCAATTGAAACTACAAGTTAATTGGGAAACAATCTACCCGCACAACTGCATCAGGTTTCAGCCTCCAAAGCCATGAAGGAAACTGCGCGACGAAATAAACCAACACAGCTTCCTGATCCAAAAGACCTAAAAGGTCACTGATGTACATGTACACATACTACCGGTAACTACAGAGACTTACAATATGAAGTGACGGCACTTGGAGCACGTACCTTTGAGGGTGTCAGCAATAGACGACAGACCCGCTTCCTTCAACCACCTCAGTTCCGGTTCCCCTGGAAGTTACACAAAACAAAACAGAGATCAAATAGTGTACACGGTGGCCTTGCATTCCATCCCCGAAGTTGCTGGCCACTGACACTGTTGGCCCTTTTTTGGCTTGTTTCCAATTTCCAATAACAGTATTTATTGTTCTCTAGCGGCATCAGCAAAGTAGTCGTTTTAAGTACATGTAGTTTTTATTTTCTTTGTTTCCTTCATCTTTCTATTCACAACAGAACCTTCACTTTGAGTGGCCAAGTCAAGCCTTCTGTTTAGCATAACAAAGTTGCAAAATAACATTTGGATGCATTCTGACTCATCTTTTAAGCAGCTAAATGGTCCTATCGTTACATTATTCTTTGTCGCTTTTTAAATAAAGACACACATGTACATGTATTATTTGTACTACATGTACATGTGCACCTGTATTATTGATGAATCCCGTCTTCATAATTTAAGACTGTTCAACATTCACTGTGTGGATTTTCTTATTGATGAATCATGCAGGCTTTACATAGATACAAACAATCAAACAAACAATCAAAATTTCACAAACTGGACTTTTAAAAACACAAAAACATCCCCCCCCAAACAAAAAACCTACAGGGTCATTCAAAACACAGTAAAACCCTTTGAGACCGGCACATGTGTGTACCAGTAGTACTTGTATCAAAAAACATGTCTTGTGAAACTCGAATTTTTGAGAGCGGCCCCCTCGGCCATAACATGGCTTATCATGTCTGGCGAGAGTCTTTGAAGAGCCAATTAAAAAATATTATCTGATTACTCGCATCGGAATTGTTTGTGCCACCCTCTCAGCACTTCAACGTTGCAACGAGTTAATGATCTACGCTAGAGCACTCCAATCAAACAGACAATATCTGGCAGCTGCCGGGAGCCTTCTCATGGCAACTCACAACCCCGCATTAAGTTCAAGATATTGTGTGTACCTTAGGCATACAAAAATCAATTCATCAGTATCATTATGGTAAAAGAACCAAACGGTGCTTTTCCAGAGATGGGAAGATTAGATTCTATTCTAAGGTGCAATGGATCACCATACGCTTGGATACGACAGAAATGTTATTCATGTCTGGTTTTGAATTTTGAGCAGACATACATTATGCTCTTGAATGTAATTTTCTTTGTATTAATTGCATTGACACTAGCGGTACATTAGATAACAGCCCAATGGCATTTTTCCTTTTTGACAGTGCTTGTTATTTACTGGTACATTTGTTGTCTTCTGCCTTGAAATGCCTTTCTTTAAGGAACATGAATCAGCATTTTGACAGAGGGATCTTCATTTCCAGAAAACAGACAGACTACTTCACATAACTTTAACCATCACAACAATAATAAATGAGATGCTAACCCGCTTTAGCCCTATTTATTCTGTGTTCAGGAGCGATGAACAAAAAAGGTTACAGCAAATGCTGACTACTGGTACATACATGTATGTACATGTACATGTATCTCTCTCTCTCTTTGGCAGTTAGTACCAACACACCCTGATTCAATCTAAACAAATTACAAGGAAATGCAAAGATTTATTCACAGGTGTCTGAGATTTACAAGTACCCAGTAGGTAAAAAAGGGAGCTTCGTTAATTTCCAAACAGGCTATAACTTTCCAGGAGCAAAGTAGTTTTGCCTGTTGTTTGGACAGCAGGGGTGAGATTGAGGGAAGAAAAAAATCCACTAAACATTTTGCAAGAGGGTTGTATTAATGACAGTGATAAAATACTTGAAGGTTTCAGGAATTCTAACCAGTTAATGTCAGGTTTCATCCCCGAAAAAGCTGCAGGGATTGGGTTTTTTGCAAATTCTTCAACCTAACCATTTATTTCTGGCACCCAGAAAATATAGACATGTAGGGAGGCACAACTCTTGAGTTTAAGCTTCAGTATTTTCATTGTTTGCCCTCCCGAGTTCTGCTGTTGAGCCGTTTTTCAACTGTCCTGGTAAAAACTGTGATGCGTGCATGTGTCCAGATGTCAACCGGTTCACATATAAAAGAACCACGGCTTTTATCTATAGGCGTCACCCGTGGCTACAGTATGCAAGTTTTTTCCAATTGTTTTGATATAAGGGAGTGGCTAGTTGGGATTTTGTAACCTTATCTCTTTTGTACATGCACATATAAGTGTAGTTTTGCTCCCTGGCAAATCAGTACACCCAAACAAATTAGGTCTTTAATCCCAATTTGCTCTTTTGTACGTGGAGTGGGCTCCCCAAGCCAGCTCTAATTACTCAAGAAAGGCATTTCCAGATTATTGTGGGTTGGCAGGTCCACTTTGTAGCAGCGTCTATGTTTAGGATTGTCTTCCACGCTTTGAGCCAACCGTGAAAATGAAAAAAAGATTTCTTAAACGAGTGTACACATCCTCCAAGGAACAACTTAGGAAAATTGTGTGTGTGTACCGATGCATGTCATCCGGCAACAAGCAGTAAATGACTAACAATGGATGAGTCCTCTCTACATGTAAATGGTGACTACCGGCAAATCTTACTCTTGCTTTTTACACCACAAGAAATTTATCCACAAATTGTGATACACAATTCCGACAAGACAAAAATCACAAGACACTCACTTGAACTTTGCTTACCGTCTGGTGTCTTTGCTTCTTCATCCTCTCCGTCCGTGCAGGAGTTAGAGCCATTGCTCTCAGCCATCTTACAGGCCTGCTGGATCTCCTCCAACTCTGAGAAGTAGGCCTCAAAGTCGGCTGTGTTCTTCCCCGTCCGATCCCGGGGCTGATGCATCTTGGGTCGGTAGACTCGTCACTGGTGTAAGTGGGTGTGAAGATGCAAGGGAGAAGAGATGGCAGTCAAGATGTGGTTACTACAGCAACAAAGAGTGGAAGCCTTCTATATTATATAATTATCTTGTGCGTTGCAACAGGGACCTGGGAGGGGAGAAAAATCATCATTTAAAATTTCCAATGGGAAAATGGAATTGAATTTTTCAAGGGCCAGAACAGGTGCAACATTTACATACACCACAGATGAACATTTGCTTGTATGCCTTGTAGTTCATGTTGTACAGGTGCTTTTATTTTGCTAAACATCATGGTAAAGTGACAGAACACCGCAGAAGTTTATAGACACGGAATGCAAAGTTACTGGTGCTTTCTCAGTATCAATTTCAAACAGATTTCATTTTAATTACAGTCTGGTTTCTGAATAAAACATTATACATGTACACATGTACCCGTGCATGTACAAGTATGTACGTGTACATGTACATGTAGATACATGTAGAGACATTTAATACATTTTTCCCCTGATAATCAACGTTTGGCAGTCTAAACATATGTTACTAGACCAGAGCTTGTAAGTTTACAGTCTGTGAAATGTATGTGTATCTGTCATCTGCTTAGATCACAAAAACCACAGTCTGTTTTGTGAGCGTGTAATTATGTTGTGCAAAATCACAAACTTGTGTTAAAAAAACAAAAACCAGAAAAAACCACGCCCGAATAAAACTGCTACATGTGCATCAGTAATGCAACCTTCTGAAGCTAATAAAATCTTATTGTGATTTGAAAGCGTGTGAAGGTGTTGCCATAGCAACCAGGTACTGTGTGACTGGCCACGTCATAATCCCATCAGTGTAGTCAGTGAGGATGCTTTATTATATTGAATTCTAAAGGAAGAGAAATGACCTTGTGCATATCAGATCCAAATGATCAAAACAAGTTCTGGTACCGGTACATGTCCATGTACGGTACATATGTACATGTACATGTCCATGTCCATGTAAATACATGTACCGGTAGTGCGTACACATGTAATGGTACACATACCAACTACATGTACGTACATGTATTTGTATACTGAATAATTTTTACATGTACTGCACACCTTGTTGCACATGTATGGGTACAATTAGGTAAAAAATAATTCATTGTATACTGAGTTATTCATTTTTGTTCATTTAATTTCTGTGGCAAGATTGTTTAACACTTGACAGAAAACTGTTTGCCCTTTTTGCTGGAAATCCACTTTTACAATAAAAAAGTAGCACGAAAGACACTGGTCATGGTAAATAATGAAAAACACTCTGTCTTTTTTCACACTTTTCCTGTGGTTGACATCCAATCTGCATGTACCGGTACTAGTAAATGTACATGTACTGTGTACATCTGTAGCATTTCCTGATGTGTCAGTTCGCATAGACAGTTCGCATAGAAATTCTAAATTCATATACATGTACATGTACATGCTACATTTGAAAAATCATTTGGCATTATACATAAATGTAAGAAAATCTTCAAAAATGTACCTCTGACCAACTGTAGATACGGTACATGTACATCACATTGCCACTGTCTTCAGAAAATAATGACGAGAATCACTATCCAGTTGAAGTCTCAGCCATCTGAAAATTCTTCAGTCTCGGTGAAATTCAACACTGCATCAAATTTCTATGCTGATTATAAGCAGTCCGGTAACAATGCCAAAAGCGCACTTCACAAACACAAAGATACATGAATCATGCATCTGTGTATTTGTAAAACTGTCACACAATTATCCAATAGAAGTTACAGAATCCTTCAGTCTCCAAATCTCGGCAAAGCTACGGTATTCATACATCTTCTTCCAACATCAAGCGCTAAACGACTGATCCAAAGCAGGTTCATGAACATGTAATGCTCAATATGAAAGCTCTGACATAAGGTACGTACTATTACTGTACCTCAGGCACAATCAACTTACAGACTTATGGCACACGTACAGTACATGTATAGGTTAAATGCATGTACATGTACATGTGGTAAGCTTGTCTATAGAACCAGCTCTGATATGAACCAAAACTGCCAGTAAACTAAAGCCATCACAGGAAATCCTCTGTAACCTTGTCTTTGTGCCACAGGATCTGCCTGTACATGTACATGTAGTTGACTCCGGCGCCCCAGCAACGGAACACATCCCCACTACATGAGTCAGAAAATGAAAAACCATAGCAAGACAGGAACCAGACCGAGGAGGGTTGATTAGCTGATGGAAACCATTAATTTAGGGTACACCATCCGGTAATTACCCAAACAATAGATGTCTGGATGTACATCGACACCAGACTAACAAGCATGAAATTTGATTTCGATCAATCCATGAACATCAGGCTCGATTACCAAAACCGGTAATGCTCCCACAACATGGGAGGAGCCAGAGGTTCGGTGGATGTATTTGTCATAACCTCCATAACCAACACTTCTGAGAAAAATTAACCCCAAGTAGTTTTGATGAAATGAAGTACAGGTACATGTACGTGAACCTGGGCTCAAAAAAGTGGGTGCAAATTTAAGGCTAAAATGCACCATTTTATCCCCAAAATGCGTAAGTATGTACATGTACATGTGCTAGTGCAGATATACATGTACATGTACTAGTACAGATTAGCAGAAAGCTTGTACCGGTAGAACATGTACATGTACGTTCTGTAAAAAGCCTCAGGTTCAATATCCCCCTTAGCAAACCAGTACCTGTACCAGTTTTGTAAACCGGTATGACCTTTGCATCTTTCATAATTTGAGGTACATGTACCAAACTGGATTGTAAAGACCAATTAACTAGCTTAATTAGTGACTGGCAGTGTTATAGTCAAGACCACTTAAGACCTTCACAAGACCACACAAGACTAACACAAGACTTCCGTATGAATTCAAGTCACAAGCTTCCGGTATTCGAATAAACTGCAACAAAAGCATTCCTTTCTCATTGTTCATACTGTTCCCTGTATCTGGTCTTGTGCATGGTCTTGTGTCTGGTCTTGTGATGGTCTTGACTACAACACAAGTGACTCAAAAATTGCAGGCAGAGCAATTTTAGTAGGTGACAACTAACTTCATCATTCCCAGTAGCCTTATTTGTATTCATGTTACACACTGTATTTACAGTTTTGGCAATATACACTGATATACATGTACATTTACTTGGACTGTTCCAGGACAGATTCTATTTCAAAGGCGTTAAGAGCGCCATCATCCATGTGTGATGAGCACATATTGTCATGGTAGCTTCTCAGTCACTTCCTTTGTGCAGTTCATGAAACATTCATTAAAGACATCAGCAATATCGTCAGGCTTATCACTTTTGACCTTCGTGATGATGAACTGAGTTTGGTAAAGTGGGTTTTTCTTTGCAATTACATGTACCTCATTAACACACTTCCATATTTTCTCGCCATTTCCTTTGCTATTACAAAGAATACCGGTACCACTATAGCAATCTGACTTACATGTATGTTTACGTACATGTACGTATTGAGCGAGTGACTCTGTTTCTCACGGAGTGGTATGCACTTCATAATTCGTTACTGTTTGATTTCCCAGTGGCTCTGTGCAATTTGTCTCTCTTTTGCATCAAGTCAACAATATCACGTGATATTCATGGACAGGCACTTTTCCTCACAATCTTTTGTCGTAGAGGAATATGGGAATCAGCAACATTCATGAACATGTCAAACCCATTTTTCACACGTTAAATCAATGTCAACAATGGAATCAAGGATTTCCCATTGTTGACATGATAAATAATAGATAGAATTCTGTGTGTCAAGAATTTGCAATGGCCTGTATGACACACAATTATGAATGTGCTGGGTTTGAAAATGACATTTGGAATTCTTAATAGTGTAAATGGGGTAATGATCACTGATGCCCGTATCACTGATGCCCGTATAAACAACCCCCCACTATTACAGACATCTGGATTATTGACAAAGGTTACATCAAGGGTGGTTTTGCTCTGACTGGTTACCCTGGTTGGTTGCTGGATTACATGTAACTGTGTTTGCCCATACATCTCTGTATAAAACTGAGATTACCCGTAATACTATCAGCACTATCAGCAAAATCGCTATCAAAATCACCCAGTAAGATAATTTCATTATTGGTCTTTATGGCTCCTGATAGATCGTTATCAAGTTTTTCGAAGAAAAGACTACATGTACTAGAATTACATGTAGGTGGTCTATAAACAGATCTAACTAGACTCAGTGCACACCGGTATTTTACCTCTAGATGCTCCCACATGATGTCAGATCTTCTTGTGAAATACATGTATGTATGTAAGTGAGATGATTATGTACACTGCAACACCACCACCGTGTCTTCAAGTGGTTCTGTCTTTTCTTACAACAGTAAACACATCAATCAATATTTCATCATCCAATTTTGTTGAGTCACACAGTGTTTCATTAAGGCAAATTACATGTACATGTATCAAATGGCTTTAGTCTTAATAAGTGTCTAAGATCCCTCTTGCCCTCAACATCCACTCCACCAGCCATGTACCCTATACACAGGTACATGTACATGTCACAATGATGTTTGCATGTCTGCTAACATCATTATGATATGACTACTGTACATATGGTACATATCAAAGTCTTTCATCTGGTGGGAAACCAATTATTGGTAATGTGAAGCAACCAGGACCCAAAAATAAGCTACTTGTACATACATCATGCAGAAGTCAGGGCAGGAGGAAAATTGGATGCTCTCCCTAAGGGACTTGTTAACTTGTTTTTCAGTTGAAATAACGAACGTGACAGAAATCACTTCTTGGCTTCCAACAATGATACAATGCCCATGTAGCTTTTGTAGATAATGCAGACCTTTGTGTTACTTCTGTACTGGTACATGTACCCAGGACGTTAAATGCACAACATATCCACAGTCAACCAACTGCAGTTTTGCATCCAAACATTTTGCAAAGAATTGGAAAACAGGGTGTCAAAGTTACAGAAGGTTTTGCTCAAGAAATTTGGGTGGGAAATTGGGTCACCAATACTGAACATATATACCTGTACATGTATACTGCACATGTACTTTTAGGGTCCAAGGATACATGTACATGTATATGCAGGCGCTACTCTGCTTAAAGTCTTGAATACAAAATGTACACATGCTGTGCATGAAGATGTACATTTTTAAGTACACGTGCATGTCCATGTACATGTACAAAATGTTTGACTGTAGGCAATGTTTCTTTTGTCCACTGGCCATGGCATTTTTAATACTTCAAGCTGCCACCAAATGTGAGACGAAACAAAAATTCATATGGAACAGTGTTCATTAAGTCAGTCCAGAAGAAGAAATGTAGAAAACAAAAATCTGGTTCATCCACTGCAGTATGGCTACCACTGTCATATTACAGTACCACGTGTGATCTTCATAACAGGTGCCACTCTTTTCTGACACCAACTGCAGAATCTAGAAAAGGCCACTGACCATAAGCTGGAGATACGGTTCACAAAGGCACAATAGTGCCGTAATCAAGTGGTAATTTCAATGGGTATGAGTACGTGTACATGTACCGGTACTTTGCCATGAACAAAGGTGAATAAAGTAGTCAAGTACATACATTACACATGTGCAATACATACTGGTACATGAACAAAACATTTTTTTAATAACATCAGCACTGATGTACATGTATACTCTATAAGTTCAATCATACTACTTTGTGTCAAAAACAAAGGTGCATATACACGTATGTACAAATTTTGGTTTCAGAAGCTTGATGTACAAGGTAAATTTTTCTCACTGTTTGCAGTTAGAAACAAAAGTAAAATCCTCCTTTTAAAAAAAATCCTCCTTTTAAAAAGATTGCTTGTTTACTCAGAGGAACATAAACCGCCAAACAGTGATTACATGTAGTAACGGGGCAATTAGAGTGTATGTACATGTACACAGCATGACTACAAACCCTGGATAAAATCAGGGAGAATCCACTCAATCAATTTAGCACACATGTACATGTACATGTTCATGAATGTACATCCACAGGTTATTGCAGACAGGATTCATTCACATCTACATGTAGGTCACTGGAGTAGAAGGCTACAGAGGATGTTTGCAATGGAAGTTTTAGAATTTCACCCTTTCTTGTATGCCTTATTAAAGTCCCTGAGGACAAGTTTACATGTACACTGTATGTACATATAAACTGGTAGTTAAGACGTAATAAATCAGTACAGTGAAAAATAAACTTTTGGGACACTTCATATTTTTTATTCTGTCGTAATCTATATGCCATAATACGAGAGAAATTGCACATTTTCAAATGGATGCATCCATTTTGGAAATAAAAACCCTTCCTGTTTATGAGCAGGCCTACATGTACAGTACATGTACGTACATGTAAGCCTACACTGCTTCCATATGAGCAAATTAACCCTTGCAACAAAAACACTACAGTACGTATGTTTTTTTTATCCTTGATACACAACTGAAGACGGTAGCAACTGCACCAACTAGACGCGTGCTTCCTGTTTTCTGGCAGATATGGTACATGTCCAAATATCAGTGCCGAGTCAGCTCTGGGTTTGTACCCTGGCAGGAAAGATTGCTTTGGAAGACAAATTACATGTAATTGATAAAATGAATGCCTGTCTGGACAACATGGAGTGCATAGATTGCCAAATAATGATGTAGATAGGTGTCCCTTGGTAGAAGGGAGAAACAATTTCATTACAATTGCTGCAGGTGCATAAATTCATCAATTCTGGGGAATTTACGACAGTCCTTGTACAGTACCGTACATATTTATGCATTATACATAAAACAATATGAATCATAACCTAAGTACCCGAAGGTTGTATCCATTCTTAATGTACATTTTTATAGTGAATACTAATCACAACCAGTGTGGGGAATATTTTTGGAAGGTACCGGTAATTAAACTCACGTTTTATGCTCAATGGCCTAGCTGGGCAACGTTGCAATAAAGGCGTTTTACAATAGTGTACCTCTAAGAGTTTGCAACGGGTTGACCAATCACAGTGCCCCACATCTGTGGACCCA